ACACACACACACACAGACTGTCTCTCGTCAATATGCGTTTTCTGCATTGCACAGCTGCAAAAAACGCATAATTATACATTAGAACATATGACGTGATTTCCCTTCTTGAATCAAAAAGTAATTAAAAGTAACTTTGTGCTTTTTCCGAACCACCATTTGCCAGCGATATGTGAAGTACCCACGGCACTAGTTTGTTGTTGTCCATTAGCGGTCTCCACTTCGCTCTGTTGGAGAAGCGCCTCCTCAGTATTGTCGAGCGCTTCCTGTTTCCTCATCTCTGTATCCTCATCGTCATCATAATCTTGCAGAATTGCAGTTTGTCGGTCCAAGTCCGGTCCTCGACGCGCAGTCACTGCAGCTGCGATGTATTATCAGCAAGGATTATTTTTAAACACGCTCACCCTTACTAATTTACATTTATAGACAATGAGCGCTGACAGTCCCTTCAGGAGGCGAAACGGACGCCAGGATCGTCTGCTGGTGGAACAACACAGGTCAAAGTAGCTGGAATAATTGTCAGCTACACAAATTGGAGCCATACTGCGAGTAAGCAGTTGATTTAGGTACTTTATGTATAAGCGGGGCGCATGAGGGAAAAAAGGAACGGTGGTAGGCTTTGAGCTAATAAATGGTTTCATATTCAGATAGCACCCTTCTTCTGATGTACATCCAGAACCACTCAAATTATTTGTTATCACTCGGACATTTTCTCGAGTAGCTTCATTTCTCACCGAAAGCGAATGCGAACAGGATTTGACTTTTGAAATTCAAAGCACTGCTGGTTGGCTAGATCTTCTAGTTAGCGATAGCGAAAAGCAATGAAACAATGATGAGACGTACCATTCAGGCTCTCAGTTGATGGCGGCAGTATGCGTGATTCAGAAGTTGCTGAGAATGGCGTAATTTCAGGCACTTGCGCATCGTCCGTTTCAGTGGTTGTCTCGTCCGATGTTGTATCACCATATATTGCCACTGCAATAATGGCACCGCAGTTCCCTCCTCAAATTTCTGAGCGAACTGTATCTACCACAAGAAAATAATCAAGCACACCTTGTGTACGTACCTGCATTCTTCTCGGACCAAGTAAGAGTTAGTTTTGGTATTTTCGAAGTTGGTCGGTCAGAATGTCGTTCGGGTGACGGTCTCATCTCAAAAGTTTTCTGCGAAATATGTCGCTCTACAACACCCTCACGAGGAAAATTACCATGCGATGAGGCTCGCTTCAGAATACCCTGCAACTGCTGCACTATTTGTATCTACCGACAAGCTGTATATAGTTTTTTGAAAACTACTTATTAGATTCTTCTGACCGCAAGTTGAAAGAGGTGACACCCATTTCAGCTTGCACTGTTGGTCCCAACTTATCCAAAGCCAGTGGATTAAATTTATATCGCACCAGACGGACCCGTGCGATCAAGCGTATTTGCAGTATTTTGTGCTGGCTAATTATGGTATTTGTGCACCTACGCTGTGCTTGGGCAAGGGACATTCCACTAAAATTTGGGCTTCATAGCTTCTCCGGTTCCCGAGTTAACGATTTTCCCGCCAAAAACTTCCATGTGGCGACATAAAAACGATGTACACATGGCGGCTGAATTTGAAATCTTTAAGCTGTATAAGTGCTGGGAACATCCCCTTACAATTTTAGCTTCCCAGGTCTTCCGGCTCCTGATTTAGTGATTTTCCCGCCAAAAATTTTCACGGGGCAGTACGTGAGGACCAAGCATATTTGGGGACTGAATTTGAAACCTTTGAGTTCTGTGCGGGCGGGGAACATCCCTCGAAATTTCAGCCTTCTGGCTTTTCTGACTCTCAAGTTAGTGATCTTCCCACCAAAACTTTTACTCACTCGTATGTGGGCCCAGACGTGCATGAAGATTGGTGCCTCGGTTCTAGGGTGGCACTTGGCCAGGAAAATCGCTGGCAGAATTTCAACGTCGAAGCTTGCTTGATTGCCGAGTTGAAATATCCGGACAGATGCATACACACACACACACCGACGTACACGCGCACAAACACACACACCGTGGGTCTTCACAGTACTGCGTTTTAACATTTGCATGTATGCAAAAACCCATAAAAATATTAATTTGCAAATGATGTTCCCTTCAGATTATTTCAGGCTGCTAAACACTTGCACGTTCAGAAACTCATTATCGGAGGCCCTTTTTATGTGCATGTGTTTGTCAAGATAAATCTACAAAAGCTGCGGAGGAAAAAACTTTGAGAAGACGATCTTCGATGAGGACAAACAAAACTAAAACGCTTTGTATGATGTGCTTGATCTCCTATTTTTGTCAAGCAGTGCTTGAGATGTTTTTCGTGTACGGACAAGCAATCTAATTCCATTTCAGAAGCGCGCCATGCAGCATGTTACTGATGCTATATGTGTAAATAAAATTCTGCTGTTTACCTTGAGGTCAACTGATGGAAGTTTAATGTCGGTAAGTAATGCCCTTAGTGTAAATGAGCTCACTCTGAGGAAGTAGCAAATATGCACCGAATGAGCGGTTGATACAAAACGGAGAAATGCAGCTCACAACCCAAAGACAGGCACTGCATGTAAAGTGTTCCAGCAACTTGTCCTAGTGATTTTGGTAATCCTATTATGGAGAAACTGAGGTTTTATGATCTTACTTGTATAGCATTTTGCTGATTTAGTTGATAGCTCCGCAGGAGTGAGCTTCGCA